AGTGAACCCACTCAGTATAATATTTATTTTTGAGACTGATATTCTGTCACATGTGCTGCACATGTCGTTTTGAGGCTGTCGGCTGTGGGATTGACAGATTAGTACATATTGGGATCCAGGCAGTGTTAATGTATTTAATCAATACAATGCTTGAGCTCACCTGGAGGAGCTCATACGTTTATTTTATGCTTTCCAGTTAAGATATGCAGCTAGGTCAAGTTATGAATCTTCATGGTTCTGCCTATCATCAAAGGAGCACAAATGTTTATCTGTTCCTAAGAAATAATGTGCCAGTTTGGTGTAGTGGTTAAGTGGTCCAGCATCCTGTCTCACACAGTGGCCAACCGGTCCCTCTGGAGTGGCAACAACAGGGCATAGAGGCCAAGGCCTTCATAAGAATGTAAGAAGAGCCCTGTTGGATCAGACCAGTGGTCCATCTAGTCCAGCATCATGCCTCACACATTGGCCAACCAGTTTCTCTGGAGGGACAACCACAGGACACAGAGGCCGAGACCTTCCCCTGATGGGGGGGAGGCATCTCCCGCTGTGACTATCCCAGGTCCTCACTTGTCGTATTCTGATGTGAACTAGTAAGTTTGTACTTCTGAGACAAACAACAATGGCACCTGGTATTTTTGGCCACTGTGTGACACAGAGTGTTGGACTGGATGGGCCACTGGACTGATCCAACATTGGCTTCTCTTGTGTTCTTATGATCCCTTGAGCCAGTTTGGTGTAGTGGTTAAGTGTGCAGACTCTAATCTGGGAGAACCAGGTTTGATTCCCCACTCCTCCACTTGCACCTGCTGGATGACCTTGGGTAAGCCATAGTTTTGACAAGAGCTGTCCTGGAAAGGGCAGTTCTTGAAAGAGCTCCCTCAGCCCCGCCTACCTCACAGGGTGTCTGTTGTAGGGAGGGGAAGGGAAAGGAAAGGAGATTGTAAGCCACTCTGAGACGCCGAGTGAAGGGCAAGGTATAAATCCAATTTTTTCTTCTTCTTCCTCTTCCTCTTCTTCTTGACGTTGTTGCAGTGGGTGGTGGACCGGAGGTGATGCTCATTGGACTCACCCTCATAAAAATAGGCTTTGACCACCACATCTGGTACAACGTTTAGTGCACATTTGGTTTCACACTCGAGTCTAAGAACAGGAGGACCAGCATCTATTTTGAGAAGCTTGTAGAATTTTGGAAAACCCTGGAGATCAATTGAAACAAATGGAGTATTAAAAAATCTTTTTGAAATGAATGAATCTGCAATGTACTTGGATGCAAAGATTCCATTAAAAATATGATCTGAATTTCACTTTCAGATTATAAGGTTTATAAATTTACAGAGTAGCTTCTGAATCCTTCAAGAAAAGTATAATATCTCTATGGCCTTAGGGCTAGGGTGTCAGAAATAGTAAAAGTAGGGGACTTTGAACAGAACATGGAAGCACAGGTGTACTTGTGAAGTCCCCAGATTTACAGAAACATCAGTTGGGAAAAAGCGGTGTATATGGGGGAGTTAACGCTCCCAAAATATTAATAGCTGTTGCCTCCTGTTTGGGCAGCGTGTTGGGTGGTGGGGGAGAAGATAGTGTGTGGTGTGTGTTTGGGGGGGAGGATGTGTCCCTTATCAATCCTTTCTTTGTGAGTGCCAAAAGGGCATTTTTTTTGTGTATGTGCATGTGTGCGCGCGCACATGCGTGTGTGTATGCACCTGGAAGTCATGGTGTCATCTGGTGACTGACCCTTACAGGAGGCCCAGAGGATATTCAGAGAGGTAGCTGAATAAAGCCTGCCCCTGCCTCCCAACTGCTGGTATTCCAAGGAAGTCTCCCACCCAAGGACTTGCCAGAGTTGACCCCGCTTAGCTTCTGAGGTTGGAGGAGATCGGGCTTGCCTGGGCTATCCAGGTCAGGGCTTGAAAGAGCCATATTATATTTTACTAAATTATTCATTTCTTTTCTGTTGGGTTTTTTTTGCAATTATTAAAATATAGAAAATTGAAAAAGAAGAAGCAAAGTCGTGTTATTTCTTTTCATCATCTGCTGACTTTGTCAGGTACCATAAGGTGGATACCTGTTTGTGCATCCCAGTGATTGGTTTGATGTTGGGACTATGGAGCGAATCAAGCAAAAAAAAAAGTCTTCAGAAGCAAAGACTTGCTTACCAAAGTTGGCTTAGAAGGAGTGGAGTGGCTCTGAATGTGATGCTGCTTGTCTGTAAGCTAGATAACAGCAGGGTCATTTTTGCAAATAGCTGGGATTGCAGGGTTCTCATCTTCTAGGGGAAACTTGCACTGGGAGCTTGTGCAAGCTCATGTGCAGCTGTGATTATGCACTGCCAGCCGCACATTGCTGTCTGTTCAGATTACTGTGCAGGAGCATCGTATTCGAAGCCATGTTTGGGCTGTGTTATATATTGGGGCTGGAACATCCCAGGACTGTCGACCAGAGACTGGCGGAGCTTGGAGTTCTAGAACAATAGCCCACCAGGACTCTAGAGGTGACCAAAGAGGAATTAATGTTCTGTAAATAGCCTATCACTGGGAGTTAGGTGTGGTGTTTACATGCTATTTAAACAAGGCTGCTGCATGGTCAACATAGGGACAGGAAAGGACCCTGTGCCACCTCTCCCAGCTCACCCGAAAGCCGATGGGCGGGGAGAGGCCTCCGGAGGCCCCGGCGCCACCTCTCCCCGCTCGCCCGAGAGCCGTATGGGCGGGGAGAGGCCTCTGGGGGGCCCCGCGCCACCTCTCCCTGCTTGCCCGAGAGCCGGATGGGCGGGGAGAGGTCTCCAGAGGCCCCCGTGCTGCTTCTTGCCGCTCGCCCAAGAGCCGGGTGGGCGAGGAAAGGCCTCTGGAGCCCCCCGCACCACCTTTACCCGCTCACCCACCGAGGCGGCTGGCTGGGGAAAGACTTCCAGAGGCCCCCCCCCACTTTCCCCGCTCACCCGAGCTGGGCGCGACGGGGAAGGGGTACAGAGCCTCCCCTCCCCTGGA